CCCCCCCCCCCCCCCGTACGTGGACCGCGCCTAGATGCTTCCACACCGCGCGCGTACTCTCGCGGACACTCCCGACACACGCTTTCAGGCCGTGCGGAAAATCGCCTCGCACATCGAAAAAAAGGTGTCCCCGTACGTACACCGCGCCTACATGTATCCACACTGTGCGCGTACTCTCGCGGGTTCGGGCCGCGCGGAAAGTCCTCGAAAAAAAAAGTGCCCCAAGTCCCCCGTGGGCCCGCCCCCTTAACTCGGCGCTGTTCCCAACACTGGGCAGCGGGTCTCCGTGGGAGCGTTACGCGAGACCCGCTGCACGCTTTAGGAGTATTAAGGAAAAGAGACAAAAAAAAGAAAAAAAAAACAGAACCTTATTGGTTCGGACTCCATGTCCATTCTTGGGAGCATCGGTATGGTTCCTATTCCACCGGCAACTCAAGGATACAACATAAACACTCTCTGATGCTTCTCCCCATTATAGCTGGAAGACCCTAGTAGGCAGCATTGATTACTTCCATTGTGGAAGGATGTACCTCCCCTCACGCATCCCTAAGCTGGCCTAGTGTGGTATGCACTACACGGGCCCCTTGGGCCTGTATTAGGTTAGAGGGCACAGGTTAGGGGTCATTAGTCCTCCTTTCCCTATCCTGCCTGGTTCCAGTCTGGGCGCCATATTTCATCCTGGCTGTTTTCAGTTTGGACGCCATATTTTATCCTGCCTGGTTCCAGTCTGGGCACCATATTTTCATCCTGGCTGTTTTCAGTTTGGGCGCCACATTCCATCCCGCCTCTTTCCAGTCTGGCCGCCATATTTTCATCCTGCCTGGTTCCCCTGCCTCCAGTCTGGACGCTCACTCTAGGCCCAGCAGTATATATAGCTGGGCCAGCCTCATTTGCACAGACAGACAGTTGGAGGTGACGTTCTCCACGTTGCTGGAGGTAGAGTAGTCCACGCGCTGGTCGCAGTAGCAGTAGACTTCAGCACTGGGCACTCTCCATGTGGACGACCTCAGCCTCGAGCTTGCGCTGCAGCATACTGCAGCGGGTTGAAGAGGAGTACAGGATGTGGAGGCCACGGGACTTACTGTGATGCCATAGCTTCAGCTTCATCTTCAACACGTCCGTACCTGCATCAAGGCACCACCTTTCTGCAGGTCAGTATCTGGTTAGAGAGAGAGGATTCTTCTTCTTCTGCTGCTTTCTTCTGTCCTCCATTGCTCCTCCTCCTTCCCCTCTGGAGCTCCTCACCTTCTTCTGAGTACGAGAGTGAGAGAGAGTTGAGAGTTGAGACTGGGTGACATTGGACCACAGAGCGACACTGGGCTGAGATATTGGGGACTATGTGGATACTTCACGAGTGATATTTGAGTTGATGACATCTTCATTCCTCCTCCTTCGTCTCTTCCCCCTCCTCTTCATTTGTGGATGATCGCTGGCCTGACGCCCTTCGTCTGTGCATTGGAGGCCAAGACCCCTCTCACCCTACCTGATGATGATGAGTGTGGTGCAGTCAGTCTGCGACTTTTGAGTCGGATCATGGTATATCAGTCTTCCACTGCACTATTTGTGCTTTATCTCCTTGGGTTGGTTCTCGGGTCTCGGTTCTGATCCTTGCCTTATAGGAATGCGATACCTAGCGATCTTAATCCTATGGCTACCTGCACTTTTACTCCTCTTAACCAGTCCTCAGTTTGCTCCCTCTTTTCTATGGGGACTACCTCCTTTTATGCTCCTCTCAGCCGCTATTAGCTGCCTGTCATGCTTTTTGACTAGAGCAGTGACTGGCTATCTCCTCCCGAAGGGCAACTTCTGCTACATTTGACTATCCTGTTCTGATTCTTGGTGCCTCCGTCACCTTTGTGACGCCATAGTCTGTGATTTCTTATACTTAGCTAAGTTGAAGGGAGTTAAGACAAGGGCATCTGGGTTTTAATGTATCCTTAGTTGGGAGCTGCTACTTAGATTCCCTCTGCCCAGTTCCCTTTGAAAGGTTCTGTTTCCACGGACAATCTGAAGAAATCATGTCTGCCGCACTGATACAGTCCTAGGTTTGCCATGGAGAGGCATATCTGGATTAGCCTACTCCAATTTCCAAAGACAGCGTCTACCAGGAACGGGGGTAGGACGCACTGCATCGATGTGTTGGGGCGTCTTACATTGTCTGTCTCCAAGCTCCACCCGGACGTCTACTCCCTTCAGTTCCATCTCCAAGTGATGACAGGCAACCCATACAACTTCCCGCTCTGCTCGTCTGAACAGTTCGTAAGGGACAATTACTTGGGCCCACTACCATAGCATTTTCCCCTTCTTGGGACAGGTAAATCCATCCTCTAGTCACCACAGTGCCCTGGAATATCAGGTCACTCAAGCTCGGGGATAGCCGAAGTATGCTAACGTTATCCCACATGGTCACCTTTGCTCTGCTCACCTTGGGCTTCAGCTGAATAGCATATCCCTTACCTCTCCTTTTATCCCTTCTGTTGTTCTTTTTGCTGGTCACTGCTGCTGCTGGACTGTCTGGGCCTGGCCGTGGGAGTTTCCAGTAGCTTCTGGTCGGGCCCCAGTGTCTGCGCCCATGCCCATGTCCACAGTTGAGGGACTGGGCCCTTTTCAGTTGGGCACACCCAGGATCATCCAAGTTCTGACTGTTTGCTGTGTTTGCATTGGTCCGCGAGGTTGGTGTGCCGACAATGCTGCATTCTCATTGGCCCGCAGCCACTTCGTGATGTGTCGGCCTCACAATGCGTGTCCTCAGGGCGCAACCACCTGCGTCCTGGGCTCAACTGCCTGACGCAGCTGCTTCTTGCGGAAGAGCCCAGGGTGAGGCCCGGGTTGCACTTCAACCACCTGGTGTGCAACAAATGTCTGATACCCACATTGGAAAATGTTGAGATAAGGGCCTCTAGTGGATATTCAGGCCCGCCTTCACTTAGGGTGGGCACGAGGCTTGCATGGGGGCCACAGTCCATGACATATGCATGTTGTCTAGGGCCCCATGAGGACACATTCCTCACATTCCATCCCCCTTGGCTTCGAAAGTCCGCTGAGATGCTTCTTAAGCAGGAGCCTTCCCCTTCAACCTTCTTTCATAGTCTGCCGCAATCTGAGGTCCTGTTTCAATCAGTTCCTCTTTGTTGAACCATCTGTCTTCTTTTGGATCCGTGTGATGCCTGAATCTGACCCGGTATTCCCTCTTGGGTTTCAGCGGTCTTCCTCTACCCCCAGGCTTAGGAACAGGCATGTCTCTGTGCGCCAAAATGTCGTCGACGTCCACGTGGCCATCCATGGTTGGGGGCAGCATTGATCTCCGTGATGGGAACTGATGTGTCTTTGCGAAAGGTGCAAGCATTGAGGCGTGAAGCACAGGGTAAGTGCACAAGTGACAAGAGATTCGAATCACATACGAGGGACCATCCAGATCACACTACCCACGAAATCCAAGACTTCCCGAGGACCCAAGTATTGAGGCATTAGTTTCCTAGAGATGCCGAATTCCTGTC